TATAAAATAAATAAAATTATAATAAAATATAATTTTTCATAACTAGGGAAAGATTAAGAAATTAAGAAATTTTATGTTACTATGGTAATAATATCTTTTTCTTTTGAGATTTCTTCTTGAATATTCTTTTTATTTTTTTTATATTTAGAATATTAATTTTCATGATATTATTATTTTAATTTTTTTATTTCTGAAATTTTTAAATTATAAAGTTGGAAATAGAATTTAAATTATTAGTAATATAATTTTTGTCTATATTTAAAAATTCAAAAATACTTATTAGTTAGATATTTTATATGATTTTCTGAAATTTTATAATAATCTTTTGATCATATAATTATAAGCTAGTATCTACTCATATAATTAATTATATAAGCAAAGAGTTAGAAAAAATGATCTTTAATATCTCTAATTAAATAAAAATTATATATTCAGTTTGTATCTAATTAAGTCTATTCCTAAAAGTAATAAAATTAATTTTTACAAATTATCTCTCATTTCTTAATCAAATTTTCTATTTTATTATAAGCAAAGTAAAATATTTTTGGATCAACTATTAACAGAGCTTCTTATTGAAAGAGTTTATAAAATCAAAAATAAGAGAAGAAAGAAGATTTTTAAATAAAAGTAAGTGAAATAATTCATAAATCAGTTAGAAATGACTGATAGTTATTTGGGAACTTTTTGTTTAGCCAAAGTTTAACCTTAAACAGATTAATATATTGATAGATAAAAGAAAAAGCAGAAGCAATAATCAAAATATTACCAATTGTATCTATTAAATAGATAAGAGATAATAGAATTACTAATATGAAAAATAAAGATAAAAGTCATAAATAATGAAATTTGACAAGATTATAAATACTATTAAAATTATTTAGCATATATATAATAAAAATATTTCAAAAAATTAAAAATATTACTGAATTGAATTACTAAAACTACTGTATCAAAATATTACTGATTAATAGATATCGATATCAATAATGAACCAGAATTGACAGAACCGACTATACTGGTTAATAATTTGACTTACCCACCCATTGCGTCGACCCTACGAAAAAGTAGAATATGAGACACGTGACGGGATTGTAAAAAAATATTGAAAATCTAGATAAATCAAACACAAATTTTAATCCGGGAAAGTAACTACATGTAAATCATTTTGAAAATTCTATCTATTGTATTATCCAAAAACTAAACTATTATCCGTAATCAGCCTAATACATGTACTTGTTAACGCGCGTAAAATTTTTAACTTCTTTCGAGGATCACAACCATTCTTTGAAAAAGTAAATATACATTCTCTTTGCAAAACTTGTAAACAACCAATAACAAGCTAGAGCAAGCGCAAGGTACACGAAATACAAGCCTGGAAGGTTGACCATGGACAAAACATTGTTCACCGGAGAGAATGGTATAGCAATGCCTATAGCAATTATCGAGAAAGTACCTAGAAGGACGGGTAAAGAGGCTGTAGATTGGATCCATGGTACCTTATGGGTTCGAATTATATGCACAATTAGGGTCTGAGTACACAGGCCTTCAACGAACCACGCGGTATCTAAAAGAAAGATCATTATATTTAAAAAATTCTATTTAAAAAAAAACTGTTATAGCATCACCTTTACTTACGAAAGAGAGCTTGATGATAATCTGTTGCATCCCGACAATCATAGTAATACCACATAAAAAGAAAGGTTGTAATATCAAAAATACTACTCCATGGACCAATGCACACCATGAATTTTAAGATACTCGTAGCTTTCCATTTTTTTGGATGAATTAGAAAGTCGGGATCCTTACGTTACAAAATTTAAAGATTAAAAAGTGCATTTATCAAGCAAGAAACGCCGAATTGCAAAGATCAGTAAACCTACCATTTTATCCCAAGGAATTGCAATCTGGGATACATCATATAAAAAGTTTTGTGCGATAACTTGAATGGGCAGCATCGGAAGGTAAGGAAGCCATGCTGAAGCGACCAAAATACTAAACACATTACCGAAATTGGAGGACACAGCCATTTTTATGTATTTGATGGTGTTCCCAAAGGTGATTCTTCCTCTAATGACTCCATCCGCGAGAACCATAAGGCTTTTCTCTAATAATATAATGTCAGCTGACTCTTTTGCAATATCTGTTCCTTCATCTACACTGATACCACAGTCACTTTCTCGAATAGCAGGAGCGTCATTAATCCCATCTCCAAGAAAACCAACAATATGGCCACGTCGTTTTAGGGCCTTTACAATCTCAGCCTTTTGTAACGGGGTCAATTTTGCAAATATCGTGGTATTTTCAGCGATCTCCTCCATTTGAGCTTCATCAAGACCTTCAAGGTCTGTATTTGTGACAACGGCTGTCACAGGAAGATCTATCTCTTGGCATACCTTTTGACAAACAGTTGGCGAATCGCCAGTGAGAACTTTGACGCAAACGTTATAATTGAAAAGCTCTTGAAGAGCGGGCTTGGCACTTGGCTTGGGAGGATCAAGGAATGCGCAGAAACCCATCAAAGTCAATCCCGTCTCCTGAGCAACGCTGAATGGTTCAACATATTCCTTCATGCATTTGTATGCAACAGCAATAACTCGGAGACCATCATTGTTAAGTTTCTCAGTTAAATCATGAATAGATGCTAAGATTTCAGGGGTAATTTGCGTAATATTTGAGGTGGGAAAGAAATTATCCAGGTCGTTATTATTGCTCGTGTTGACATCATCATTTTGTCCCAAATAGACATTTTCACAACAGGCCAACATCTCATCAACAGCTCCCTTAGAGATCAGAAATTTGTAATCGGGATTCCAATCGGTTTCTAAAATAACTGACATGCGTCTTCTTACAAAGTCAAAAGGGATTTCATCAACCTTGAGAAACACTTTGGTAATCTTATCTTTATTCAGCGATTCGTCATTTTCATATTCATTCTCAAAAAATTCAATAATGGAAACGTCCATGAGATTCTTGAGTCCAGTTTGGAAAAAACTGTTAAGATAGCTCAAACGCAAAGGAAATTGGCATGGGGTCCCATGGAAGTTTACGTGTTTTATAAGAGTAACCTTGTTACAAGTCAGTGTACCTAAAAATGTATTGTTAATGATAAATTCCGATTCTAAATATATTTTTTGTGTTTGAATTTACACACATACCAGTTTTATCAGTACACAAAATATCCATTCCACCAAGATTAATAATAGAGTCAAGTTTTTTAACGATACATTTTCTCTTTGATAAAGCCATAGCGCCACGTGCTAAATTAGCATTAACAATCATTGGCTTTAAAAAAAAACAACAGTAAATGAATTAATAACGATATTTGTGACTTTGTACATGTAATAACTTTGACAATAAATTATATACAATACCAGCATTTCAGGAGTGAGACCGACACCAACGGAGATGGCAAATAACAAAGCTCCCCACCAATCATGATTTAAAAAGCCTTGAAGAAGCAAGACTGGAGGGATCATTGAAACCATTATGAGAACAAACATTATACTTACGCGCCTAAAGCATAAAGATGTAGCATAAAAAGAAATTTGTTATGTACGTATATATTTGTTTTTGAATATATTTCATGTATAAAATACCTAATTCCAGATTGAAATGCATTGATGGAACGCTGATTGGAAAGAGACTTTGCCATGAGTCCAAAGAATGTCGAACTACCAGTTTTTAATACAACAGCAGTAGCAGTACCTATAGATGTTTAATTACTATCATTTCAATCATTTTATTTTTTAACATTTAAAATCTTCGATACCTACCACTAACGACAGACGTGCCCATGAAACAAAGGTCAGGTCGTTCAATTTCAGATTCATTGACCTTTTGTTCTCCATCGGATTTATCACAAACTATGGTAATTTGCTGTTGGGTGGCATATTTTTCAACTGGAATGGCCTCACCAGTCAACGAAGCCTGAGAAACAAAGAGATCCTTAGAAGATAGAAGTTGCACGTCGCCGGGAATAAGATCCCCGGCAGACAATTTTATCCAGTCACCAGGCACGATTTCTTCTAATGGAATCTCAACTTCAACCACCTCACCACGATCCATCATTTCCAAATCTTGAAAGGTTGGATCACTAAATAAGCAAGATAGACTCTTTCGTTTAATGTTTCCTCATAAACCAACAAATCATTGTGTAATTTATTAATCAAATATTTACCGTTCATCAGGGGGTCCATAGAGACGAATCACTGTCACCTTGTTACTAACCATTGACTTAAGTTTTTGCGCAGCGACACCACTTTTGTATTCTTGGCTAAAACGAAGTCCAACAGACAAAAGGATCATGACAAAAAGAAAAGTCATGGTATTGAAATCTTGAGTTGCCCCGCTAAAAATAGCAAAACAAACCAAGATCAAGTTGAATGGGTGAATTGTAGCGTTATATAGGACTCGGTACCTAAGAGGGTGTTTTAAGAACTTTGTTAATTTCATAATGTTTCAACAAATTAATTAAATTTTACTTGATCGGAAAACTCACCATTTTAAAGGTTTATTCGTAATAATAATATTTGGACCCACGTCTATTAACTTCTTCTCGGCAACTTCTCTAGAAAGTGGTTGGATTTTGTCCGGACCTTGAACATATGTCACGCTCTGAATCTTTGAATCATACTTTGGAACCGGCACGATGGTGTTGGTTATGGAAGATGAAGCTGCAGTTGCATCATCTGACTGCTGAAGGGATGTCATGGTGGCTCTAATAATTCGAGATAAGAAAGACCATCTAGTCAACCAGAAATCATTGGTTCAAACAAGTTTTACGGAATTGCTTGTATATGAGAGCGAATTCGGTTTGTGCTTTTTGTATTTTTGGTTATTATTGATGTATCGACAGTAAATTTGAGAAAATGCATGAATTTTCTTTTTTTTACACAGGATGTTTGACAATGATAAGTCTTTATAAATCATTCGAAAAAAACTATGACTCAGTTTTTTTAATATTTATGTACCAATTAAATCTTTTGGTGATGTGTATTACATATCATGTACATGTGCGTTTGTGACTGCAGATATTAAATTTGGCGTATTTGTCTTGGCATTTTGTACATCAATATAACTTGTCCTTATTATTACTAATAGATGTTCATGTATTTACTTGTCGTTAACTTTTACATGTAACATCCCCTTATCGCTATTGCTTAATTACTGCATAGATCATTTCAATAAAGATCCATTTTGATTCCATTGGAGCTCAAAAGTTCTGGATTTTTACGCCAAAAAAATCTTGTGCCTTCAATTTCTATCTCATTTCGATGCCAATAACCTAGAAAAGTATTATTGCCTTTCTAGAATTTTTTAATAAAGAAAATTTAACTACATGTACAAATTTCTTTGTCAAGTCCCAAAAAATTCTATTAAAATTTTCCTTTTCTGAAAAATATCTCACATATTGAGGCACAAATTTCTGAAAGTCATACGTTTATACATGTACATGTACATGTGCATGACGTAACTTGCATGATTTGGCTGAAAATTTGGTAAAATTCATGTGAGAAGATTATTGTAAGTTTTTTGTTATCATTTTAATATCATCGTAGCTTTTCGCTTGGTACTTAACGATTACTCTAATATTTGCAAACTTATGCTGAACATACTTGATAGAAATATTCAGTACAAATGTTAGTTCATTTTAACTGGTTTTGATATGATTGAAAATTAAAACATCAATAATTATGTACATTGACATTAGCAACCTGTTACACAATCTCCGATTGATAAATTTAAAACTACCCGCGACAATATTTGTTGTGAATTTAGCTTTTGTTTTTAGTTTCCTGTATCCTTAATTTGTGTTACTGGGTTTATCCTGTTTGTAAAATTTTAACCAGATGAATCACATACAATGAATGGTCTGCAAAAATAACGCGTCACTCATCCAATCCAATGAAAGCAAAAATAATAGATGAATAACATCTAATATATTGCTGCTACAAATTGTAAAATTAGTTTGTGAAAAGATCAAGAATATGTTCTAACTTTTTTGGACATATAAAATCAAAAAAAGTATAATAAAAAAATTTTTTTCTTCTTAATATTCATTTTATTAGAATTAACTATTTTTTAAAATTTTTAAAACAGAATATTCATAATAATTTTTGAATATTTTATTTTGCCTATGCACAGTTAATTTTTTCATTAATCTTATTAATAAAATTATATGAATTTTAAATATAAATTATTAGTTTAAAGATTTTAAAAGAAAAAAATAATTTTTTGAAATTTAAATTTTAAATAAATAGATTTTATTCTAGATATTTTCAAGTTTATAGAGAATGAAATTTATTCTTTAATTTTTATAAAAAAATAAAGCTTATATAATAAATTATTAATATATATTTTTCTTATTAAAAGTATCATAATTTTAAATATAATAAAATAATATTTAAATATAATAATAAATTATTAATTTTAATCAATAAAAATAAAATATATTATTTATTCAAAGTGTAAATAAAAAACTATATATTATTCTATGATATATAAAAATATAGAAATTCTAATTGTTATATTATATAATTAATTATAAATTAATAAATTAATTAAAAAAATTTATTATATTAAACTTACAAAAGTAATATATCAAAGACTAAATTTATTAATAAAACATATGAAATTTGAAATTTTCTTCTATATTAAATATATAATAATTTTTATTTTTATATCAAAATAAAGTTTATTAGTTATAGTTTAATATGTAATTTTTTAAATTTTTCTAAAAGAATTATTCTAATTGTAAAGTTAATGTAAAAATTTTTACTAATTAAAAATGAAATACTTAACTTTACAATTAGAATAACTCTTTCAGAAAAAATCTAAAAAGTCTGAAAAAATATATATCAAACTATAACTAATGAATTTTATTTTAATATAAAAATAAAAATAAAAATTATGAATTTTAATATAAAAAGAAAATTTTGATTTTTACTATATTTTATTAATAAATTTAATTTCTAATATATTATTTTTAATTACTACTATATAATAATTTATTATTTTCTAATATAAAAAATTTATTATGTAAGTTTAGTTTTACAAAAGTTCAAAAAAAAATAGAATTTATATATAAATTGATATAAAAGAATTTATATCTTAAATAATATTAATATATTATTTTTTCAAAATAAAATTTTAATTCAGTCTTATTTAATTAAATTATTAGATATTAAAATTTATTTAAATATAAAATTTTTATTATATAAAAAAAATTTTATTAATATCTTTTTTCAATTATTATTTCTTAAATTTTATTATATAAAATTTAATTAAAATTAATATAAAAATTATATAATAAATAATTTGCTTTAATTAATTTAAAATCTTAATATTTTTATAACTAATAATTTAATTTTTATAAAATTTAAAATATATATTTATCAAATTTAGAATAATTTGCTTGCATTATTTGAAGTTTTAATAATATAAATTGATAATAATAATATTTAAAATATCTTTTTTTTAAAAAATAATAATTTTATTTTAGTTTTTTTTAGTAAAATAATATTTTATTTATTATTAAATTAAAATATAATAGAATAGTTAAAATAATATAAAAAGTTTATATTGAGATATAAATCTTTTTACATTGATTTATATTTTATATAATTTAATATAAAATGATTTATATCTCAAATAAAAAAATAATAAAAAAATTTAATATATAATATATTTTTTTATTTAAATAATATTAATATATATTAAAAAAGATAATATATAAATATTAGATCAAGCTTATTTATCTTTATCAAAATTATTATATTTATTAAATCTTATATTAATTAATTAATTATTATTAAATTTAAAATATTTCTTATCATATTTAAATATTTTCTTTAAAGCTTAATAATAACTTATAAAATAATTTTTCAAATATATCTAGAAAAGTATTTCTAATAAATAAAAAATTGAATATAATTCTAAATATAATAATCTTATTTTTAATAATTATTTAATATTTTTAATAAATATTTATTTATAATAATATAAAAAAATTAAAGAAAATTCAGTTTATAATTCTATAATCTTTATATAATTTTATTTATATAAATATTTATAAATTTATAATTTTTATAAAATACTTTATAAAGAGTTAAAAAATATTTATGTAAATTTTTATTTTAAAATTTTTATAAATAATTTACTTAATTAAAAAAAATATTAATAAAAATTTTTATTTTAAAAATTTTTATAATAATTTATTTAATTAATAATAAAAATATAATTCTAATTTTAATATTATTTCTTTTTTATTTATTAATTTAAGTATTAAATTTCAAGTATAAATAAAATAAAAAATAAAATTTTTATATAATTTATTAAAAGATTTATTTTAAATATTATAATAATATCAAAAATTATTTTAAATATTATAATAATATCAAAAATTATTATTAATATATTAGATTTAAACATTAAAATAATATCTTGATAGAAATTCAAGTATTTTATAAGTATAATACAAATAATAATATAACTTATTAAGAAAATTTTTTAAATAATATAGATATTATTATTATTTTTTAAGTTAATAAAATAAAAATAATAATAATAATAATAATATATAATGTTATTTAAAAACTTGTAAAGAATATTTTTTTATTTTCTTAATTAAAATAATAATTTAAATAGTAATTTAAATAGTAAATATTAAAAAAACTTCTATTTAAAAAGTTTATATTTATATTTAAAGAAAAACTATTATTAAATAAATATATTAAGTCACTTAATTTTTTATTAATATTTAAAATTTTTATTATAAAAGTTCTAATATTTTATTAGATTCTAATTTAAGAGTTTTATATAATATAAAAGTTTTATTATTATAAATATTTTAGTTTAAAATTATATATTTAATTATTTTTTCTATTAATAATTTATTTATATAATAAAAATTTTTAATAATTTTTTTCTTGAACTATTTTAAAAAATATTATTAACTTTTAATTATTTATTAATATATTTTATTTTATTTTTCAGATAATTTTATCAATAAGTTAAATTTTTTAGAAAAATATTATAAAAAATCAATATTAATAGAAAAAAATTAGTTTATTTTATTTAAATTATATAATAGATTTCTTAATATAAATTATTTTTTATAATATATAAATCTTTTATATTAAATTATAATAATTTATAAATTATATTTTTATTTTATAGATATTTAAAATAAATATTAAAAAGTATTTTATTATAAAATTATAAATTAAATTTAATTTATTTAAAATTTTAAAAATAAAATTTATATTTAAAATATTATTAAATTTTTTATTTATTATATTATAAAATTTAATATTAAAAATAAATTTAAATATTATAAATTATTATATTAATAAAAAATTAAATTTATATATAAATATTAATTTAAATTATACAATAAAATATTTATTTAATATTTATTTAATATTTATTATTTATTGTAATAATTTTGATTGAGTTATCTCTCTTTAAATCTTTTTTAGCTTAGATCTTTATTTTGCGTTATCTGTATAATAGATTAGCTTTGTATTACATTTCTAAGAAGATCAATTTCATTCTGGATACACAGATGATTATTATATATTTAATACATCTAAATTTAATATATTATTACTTAGATAATCATCATGTGTATCACAATTATTAATTTAGATTATTAATATTTTTAATTAATTATTTTCTTTATAATTTCATTCATTTTTCTTATTA